CCCCCCCCAAAAAAAAATGTAATTACTGACCTTTATAATCAAATAGTATTGAATTTAGTATTCAATATTGAATATGTATAGTATTGAACAGTATTGCCCATTTTTTCACAGAAGTATGATGGACCCTGTGCAGTACAAGTTAAACAGACCCTGTCCTTGTCTTTACAATCTAAAACAGATACTGACATGGACACATAATAAGAACATGTGTATGGCTGAAACAGTTTTAGAGAAATCTAGGAAGCTAGGTGGTAACACTGCATAAATGTTAGGGTCAAATGTATTAGAATCTGCTATAAGAAGAATCTGGGAGGTATTTTCTTCTCTTTGTTCAGGAAGTCTTCATGAAGCAGGAAGTGTTCAAAGAAGAGAAGGTTACTGGGTAAATTAGGGGTGGGATGAACTTTCCAAAACTAGTTGCAAAATTGAGTGCTGGGTGGGTGAGGAATGGGAAAATAAGGGGAAGGGAGAAAGTTTTGTGCAGATGGAGCAAAGGGCAAAGGATATACTGTAAGAAAGCTTGGAATAGCACAAAACTCAAATAGGATGATATGGGCTGTGCAATAGAATCACCTGAGGTGGACCCCGAGGTGGTACACACATCATCTATAATGAATCAGGTACCGTGTGTTCTTACTGATAAGGAAACAGCTTGTTAGCACTGGGGAAGAATAAGCAGTTTGAGGTGACTAGCTTCTATGGGAGAGAAAGGTCAGAAATCTTAGTATGTGTTGAAGATACTTCAGTGGGCTGGTCAAAGGAAAGATGAACATAGCCAGACGGCCAAGGATAAGTAGCTATTCCACATTAATATTTAATTAGAACCCTGTGGCTAGAATGAGATCTGGGAGAGCAGCAGAGAGATGGAATATTCTGTAATTCATAGCTTGCTTTGTTAGATGAGAAATTAATTAGGGTTTTGGTGTTGAGGAATCCTAGTACAAAGAATCTGCTAACATTTATTAGGAATTAAGGGAAGATGGTATCTCAGTTATGTTGCCTAAGCAGACAGAAGGTACAAAAAACATCACTCTAATACCTTAGGATCTGATATAGTTTAGGAAGTATGCTGTAATATCAAAGAAATGAGAGATTATTATCTAGTATGTTTACATCTACTCAGGTGGAAAAAACATTGGTGGGATATGAACAGAATCCTGATTCCAGATGTTGTTGTGTGTAAGTCAACCTGCCCCTGTTTCTCTTTCTGTAAAGCAGGATAATGTTTACACCTAATCTGCCTCTCAGGGATACCATATTAATAAAATTATATCTTTTTGGTGCCTGGTATTTCTTCAGATGTTTGTGTATATATGCAAATTATTATGATCAAGCTGTTGATGGTAGGAAAATATAAATCTTTACCTGCTTTTTTGACTCCTTGTGTGGAGTTACTAAAGTATGCCTGTCTGAATCATTATGTATCTAGGCAGAGGCACAAATTAGAATGTGGTAAAAGAGAAATTAGAATGAAAATCCTTTTTTGGTATCTGCATCCATAGTCACAGTCCACTAGAACCCATGATAATTGGGGCCTTTTGTTTTAAAAGGCCCAGGACCAACCCTCCAACCTCCAGATGCAGAGAATGTGCCAAAGGAATAGGGCGAAGGCAAACTCTCTAACCAGGTGAAGACCCAGGTCATCTCAAACTAGCTCACAAACCATTAAATGCTGCCCAATCCACCAATCCTGAGGATGGAAGAAGCAAGAAATAATAGTCTTTAAACATTCTGAGAGAAACCAAGCCCACTTTTGGAGGAGCAAGAGGATACATGTACTCCTAACTTTCTAATACCCATAAAGGCTTTGTGGGGAAAGGGTAGCATGTGCAGCAGAAGAAACAAAAAATACACGTGCTGGTAGAAGCTGGAGAGTCGTATCTATTCTCATCACTTGTTTCCTTAGTGCTGTTAATTTCCTTTATCTTCCCTATACTATACTTCCCTATTCTTATTTTCATTGCTTTTTCTCTATGGCCAATGCTATAGAACTTAATATTTATATGTATTCTCTATGCTGCTACCATTTCTCATTTATTGTACACTGAGTGTAGAGGCTGAGTCTTGTCAACTTTGTATAGCACTCTTTTTATGGTGACCAGTTAGGGAAGGGAAGATGATGTAAGAGTGTAAAGATGACTCAGTTCTCTCCTCATTATTCAATTCAAAATCTAAAATGCAAACCACTCCTGTACACTCAAATAGCTATCTAAGGACATGCATGTCTCAAAGTTTTACATATAAAATATTATGGAGTATTCTCTGTAACCGTGGTGCTTAAAGTATCATTTTATATATATTTTAGAAGCATAAATTCCTCCTTTCCTACTACACCTCCCATGGGGCTCTTTCAGAAACAAAACTTTGGCACAATTCAAAGTCACGTTAAAGGCTAGAAACAGAAGCCCAAAAGTAACCGTGGTGCTTAAAGTATCATTTTATATATATTTTAGAAGCATAAATTCCTCCTTTCCTACTACACCTCCCATGGGGCTCTTTCAGAAACAAAACTTTGGCACAATTCAAAGTCACGTTAAAGGCTAGAAACAGAAGCCCAAAAGTATCTTTAGAGTTCAAGAAGGGTCTGCTCAGCATAGCTCCCCTATGGTCAACATAAGAGAACATAAAAACAAAATGGTTTTGAAGGGGATTCAGTTCCACCTGTATAACCCATTAGATAGTATCTTTAGAGTTCAAGAAGGGTCTGCTCAGCATAGCTCCCCTATGGTCAACATAAGAGAAGAGAACATAAAAACAAAATGGTTTTGAAGGGGATTCAGTTCCACCTGTATAACCCATTAGATGAATTAGGGAAGTAATTTTAAAGTCTTCCACAAATACCTCCTCAAATTACTTTAGCAGAATTCAATTTACAAATATTTTATTGACACCTTCTCTAAACACAGTACAGAAACCTACACGGTGAGATCTATATTCCAATAATTCATGCTGTTGGCCACCAAGTACCTGAATATTTCTTCAGCCTCACAAATCACTAGTTGCCCAAAGGTGACATTAGAGATTTTTTAACAGATAAATGAGGAAGCAACATTTAAGTGACTGGGCCAAGTTCTAGTGAGCTTGGTGGTCTTGATGTGGAATTAGTGTAGGCAAAATGAAAATGCATTCCATATCAGTCCCACCAGGCTTGGCCTCTAAAAATGTTGTAGAACAAAGTTGTTTTTTTTTTTTTTTAAAAAAGATGACCAGTAAGGGGATCTTAACCCTTGACTTGGTGTTGTCAGCACCACACTCTCCCAAGTGAGCTAACCGGCCATCCATATATACGGATCCGAGCCCATGGCCTTGGTGTTATCAGCACCACACTCTCCCAAGTGAGCCATGTGCCAGCCCTAGAACAAAGTCTGATAACATGAAAGTGTTCATCATAACATTCAGTGAAAAAATGAAGTTATAAACAATTTTATCATTCATTTTTAATATACATAACAAAAGTTAGTGGGATGAATGCCTTTTCTTTCTTTTTCTTGCCTTATTTTACTGGCTAGGACCTCTTAATACAGTTTTGAAGAGCAGTGGTTAGAGCAGACATCCTTTACTTGTTACCAGTCTTAGAGGGAAAACATTCAATATTTTACCATTAAATTTGATGTTAGCAGTAGTTTTTCATAAATGATCTTTATCAGCCAATCCACATATTTTCAATTCCAGAAGCTCAAACAGGAAAACATATGCCCCCCTCACCTTCTCACCCCCACTTAAGGCTAGCATGACTTTTATACCATGAAAAAAATGCCATGAGAAGCCAATAAATTAAAATCATTCATTGGAGGTACTGAATAGCAAGCTGACAAAAGTCCTTGCTACTCTAGAGAATACGCCAGCAAGGCTGGCTTCCTGTTTTGCCTGCTTCCCCCTTCTCCCTCCCATTGAGGTCTGACCTTTGATTGAACCCAGGATCCTGAGAGCTTTGTAAATAAGGAACTTATGCTCTTATTTTGTTGATAAGTAGTTAGCCATGAACCTTCAAGTGCTGTGGCAGCTGAAAATGTTCTATAAAATAGCTTTGTACTGGACATAACTGATTTAATCAGTACAATTTGTTATTTTCACTGGGTTATAAAAAGGAACCTAAAATAAACTAGGATGCCTTATAGGTCATCAGCCTGTAGGGTCCTCCTGATCTTCATTCTCCACTGTCTCCCCTTGGGTACTGGTTGACAATTCATCGCACTAGCTTTTGTTATATATATTAAAAAATGAACTAGGGCCGGCCCGGTGGCGCACTGCTACAGTGCGCCGCTTGGGAGCGCGGTGGCGCTCCCGCCGAGGGTTCGGATCCCACATACAGACCGGTTCCCGCTCACTGGCTGGGCGGGGGGCGGACGCAACACTGAGGGTTGCAATCCCGTTGCCGGTCCCGGTCCGGTACGGGCGCGACACTGAGGGTTGCGATCCGTTGCCGGACACGAAGAAAGACAAAAAGGAAAAAAAAAAAAATGAACTATAACATTGTTCATAACCTCAGTTTTTCACTGACTACACTGAGGGTTGCGATCCGTTGCCGGACACGAAGAAAGACAAAAAGGAAAAAAAAAAAATGAACTATAACATTGTTCATAACCTCAGTTTTTCACTGAATATGTTATGATGAACACTTTCATGTTATTAAACTATGTTCTACAACATTTTTAGTAGCTGCAAAATGCCCATATTTTATGAATTATTTTACAATGCAATTTCTGTATGAACAGATGGGGGCAGAAAATAATATAATGCTATGCAAGATTATAAACATACATCTAGGAATTTCAAAAACCTAAGAGCTTCCCTCTATGCTGCTCCCTAAAATAAAGACAAATAGAAAACTTATCAGAAACCTTTAGTAATTGAAATTAGGGGTATCATCAGTTTTTTCTTCCTGATAACAGGGAAAAATATACATTATATGCAGCAAAACAATTCAAGCATACCTTAATATCTAATAAATTATTTTTCTTACCATTCACAACTGATCTTAGTTTGTCCCTTGTCTTCAGCTGAAGTGGTCATGGTATGTGTGTGAGTTTTATGTAAGCCTGCACCAGTTTCCATCGTGTAGGGGTGGGGTTATAGGAGACCCAAAGAACCTAGTTACCATGATGTTGCCACTCCTAGAGGACCTTTTGGAATGAGGATAAAGTGAATACTGGGGTGGAAATCTTGGCATCCTCCACAAAGAAAAAGCTAAAGGGATAGAAGCTATTTTAAAAATAGAAGCTGCAGCAGCTCTGTCTTTCCCACACCTTGGTGAGCTATTCTCTCACTCTTTTCATTTCTAAACTGAAGCAAAGACTTCAATCCCTTTCTAGTATCGACAGAACAATCACAAGAAGGGCAAAGCTAGACTTCAGAAACTAGCTTTATCTGTCATGAGTCACACAAAATAGATTAACCCTGACTACTGGGCACCCACACAAATCCATGGTGTTTAACGTAACCTGGTGTCAACAGTCTTGGAGAATACTTAAAGAGTTAAAGCAAGTGAAGGGAATCTGATTAAAGTAAGCACAACAAAATACAGAGCTGTTGTCACAAGCTAGAAGGCTTAAAGGTCTTGGTGGCAATCTGTTTTCCCCTCTCTTCTTACCATAGACTAGTAACCCCAAAACTTTCTGATGAGAAATTACTCTGAATTCCTTGAAGTTTTACGATCACTAATGGGGAGGAACTGCTAAGGTAAAAAAATCACTAGTGGAATGGGGAATTTAGTTAGCAACAACACCGAAGTCCCTTCCAGTAAGCAGCATGGAGGTAAGTTATGCAAGACCTTAGAGCCTGCTAGTCAGTTTAAGACATATTTACTGAGCACCTGTCACATATAAGGTGCTGGTGAAGGAGTCCATGGTACTATGCTTCAAAGGGAGTGGTGGATGGTATACTAAGTGGGATATGGCAGGGACATCTTGGTCACAACACATACTCAAAAGTAGTTCACCTTATTATAGCTTAAAAAAAATTTAACATTTCAGGCTTCAGATGATTCCACTTCTTCCTCAGTTCAGATTTGGTGCCGTCAGAAGCAAAGATGTAGTTGATAGATTCATAGGACAGATCCCACACTTGAGACTGGGTCAAATTAAATGTTTCGGCTGCCAGTTGGTACTCTTTAGAAAGGTGTGTTGCAAAAACACCCTTATCATCGGTCTGCCAATATAAACAAGTACGTTGCAAAATGAACAAGGAAATTTTTTAAAAAACAACTTTTTTGTTTAGAATCTATTTTCCTATTGACCATGCTTCTTTCATAAATCTAAACAAGAGCCTATAAATGCATCTATGCACATCCATAACTAAACAGACTTGTTTATACTTCAAAACAAAACAAAAAACAAAAAAACCCAGATCAGCACGTCAACCCTCACTGCATATTAAAATCACCTAGGGAGCTTTTAAAACATATCCATATCCAGGTCTCACTTCAGATCAAATAAAACAATGTCATGGGATGAGTGTCAGGCATTAGTAGTTTTTTTCTTTTAAGTTCCCTCAGGTACTGTCCAGGATCTTTTCCCATATAGCCCAACCAGAGTCATCCTGGCCCTCTGCAGCCTCTCCTGCCCCAATTCCCTCTAACTTCTCAACCCTCAGCATGCAAGGCAGTCAGCTACATTGTGAATGTCTGACCTAATGCAACTCGGGGACTAAAAAAGAGCAAAACACTTCACACAAATCACTTACACAAATCACAGAAGGATGGGCAATGCTGTACCAGAATCCAAAATGGTGCTGGTCGTAAGACAGAACGGTCTGGCTTTTGATGTTTGAAGTCAAACAGAGTTCTAGATGAAAAGAGAAAAAAACATCTTATTTAAAGCGGATAAGTGAACTCATTCATTGTTCACCAAGTAGAAACATAAGGAAGCTTTCTAAACTATGCTAATTTGCAGCAGTTTATTATTTTATAAAATTGACCTTATATGTAAAATTTGTAGTTCAATTAGTGTAGTTGTGTAGGGAATATGTGCTGGAACTTACAGCAGCAACTACACCAGGCAAGGAATTAATATCTCCTTCATAGCCACATGCTTCCCTTTCTTTAACCAAAAAGAGGAATGTTATAAGCCAGTCATGATGAATAAGGCAGGGAATTAACATGATGGGGGACCAGAAAGGTTTTTTTGAAGGGCTACTGCAATTCCCCCTGGTCTTACAGTGGAGGCCAAAACAAAGGTAAGAAAACTATAGCACTGCTTGAGAGTTACAGAATTATAAAGCGCTTAGAGTAGGCATGGGCTTTTCTCATGGCATCCAAGAAAACCCCTAAACTTTATCTTTACCCAGACAACTGCCTGCTGCTTCTAGGTAAGTAAGTCCATCTTAGGAATGACTTTTACTATTAAATTCTTGCCTTGAAACACTGTACTGGGCTCTCCAACCAGAGTAAAATACCTCACTGACTTGATTGACAGCATCTGCCCCTTCACTTCGCTGGGAGCAAAGCTGAGCCACCACACCAAGTAAGATCACTATGCAAGTGGTTCCCATTCTACTTCTGTGGATGTTTAAAAATTTCCTTAGTAAAAAGAAAAAAAATCTCACCCATAATGAATTGCTAAAAACTCTATAAGTAGTTAAAAAACATACATCCACACAAGTGTTCTGGTAAATTAGTTAATTTAACAAATTGATCATTCCATAAAATGATGTGCAGTTGCCAATCCCTTTTTTCTGTCTTCAGAAAGGACTTTCCTAACCATCCAACTAAAAGTTGTTAATCTCATCACTATTATATCAGCCTGCTTTATTTTCTTCATAGAACTCAACACTGATTTTTGGTGTATGTTTACTGTCTTCCCTCCACTAGAATATGAGTTCATTGAGAAAGAAACCTTGTCTATTTTGTTTACTGGTCTGTTACCCGCAATTTTTTTTGGCAGCTGGCTGGCAGAGGGATCCGGACCATCGACCTTGGTGTTATCAGCTATTCCCAGCAATTAAAGCAGTGTCTACAACAAAGTAGGCACTTCATAAAAATGTAGACAATAAAGTGTGTAATGGTCAACAGACATGTAAAAATATGCTTGGAATTTTCTATAATTATTAATTTTTAAATGAATGTTACATATTCCCATAACTCATGTTAATTTGGTTAAAGTCATTTTAAAATTCTAAATGACCCTTTTTCCCTCCAAAAATACTTCCTAAGTTCCAAATGCTGGGGAATGCAGTAGTGAACAAGATAGGCAGGGGCCCCCCTCTCATGGAGCATATATTCTAATGGGAACTGAAACTTGTTACTTAAATGAGGCTCAGAAAACTCCGGCAGCATCCATCTTTTAACTTGGTATGTTTCTAGAACAGTACTTCTCTACATATGGCTTGCAACCTGGGGGTTGGAGGAGGAAGGCACAGAGGGTTATCTGGGAGACCTGAAACCCTAAGCCTTACCTAGTGGTATCTGGTGTTGCCTCACAAAGTCCACCAGATCCGGGGATCCTCCTTCAGAGGTGTGGAGAAATGTTCCATGCCCGATTCTGTCAGGAAGCAGACTCAGGAGCATTTGCGTTTCTTTCTTTTGTTGTGGAATCTTAAGAGGGGGAGGAGGGAATCAATGACCCCTTTCAATGGTTCTTAAAGTATTCTATATCCAGGTACTGTCTCTCTGACTTGTTAATGCAAACATTCTTGAAAGGTGAACGACTTGTACCTTCCCAGCTATCTTCTTTGCTTTTTATCTTCTCATTCATTCCCCAATATTCTTCCAGATTCACTTCAATGAACACTTGTTAAGAACCTACTTTGTGCCTTTTCACACAAATTCTTTAAAATTTTACAGTGTTAAGAATCATACAAAGTGTTAAGAATCTTACAAAGTATTAAGATGAGGAAATTAAAGCTCTGAAGAATTAAGTAATCTTCAAAAAACAAAACAAAAAACCCCACAGCTCTCTATGTACATGTGTGTTCTGTGTTGTGTATATGTATTCACATATATTAGAAAAAGGTCTGGAAAAATATAACACAAAACTGTTAACACAAAATATTAACTCTGAGGAGAAGAGAAATAGGAAGGGGCCTTTTATTTTAAAATTTTTTCCTCCTATATTATACTTCTCTTTTTTATACTTGGATTTTCTTCAGGTACATGTAACTTTTATAGTTAAAAATATAAAACGCTTTTTTAAAAAGTTGTCCAAGGTCCTAGAGCTAGTGACTGCTAGAGATACGGGTAAAACCTAAACTCTATCTGACTTGGGCCCAGATACTTCCCACACACAGTGCACTCATGCTTTATTTTGACAAGGCTAGCTACATACATACCACAATCACCAAGAAAATGTCTAAAGGTATCTACAGGGTGTCCAACTAGTGAAAGGTCTTTCTGATCAGAGTGTAGAAACATGGACCCTAGATTTTAAGTTCTGCCACCAGACTACTGACCCTCTGGCCTACAGACATGAAAGACACAAGTTCTGGTGAGAGGTTCCAATTTTTTCCTTAATCTTTAAATCATGATGCTATTCACCTTTTCTACATTACCCCATTTAATACTCACAATAACCCTGTGAGGAAAGTAGATTATTATTTCCTACATCTAAGAAATAATTGAATAGGTAAAAGTACTGAGGTAGAAAGTAAATCCACCTGTAAAATGGGGAAGAGTGCAGTAGAGTCCCTTGTTAGCTTCACAGGGATGTGTTTAACAAAGTGACTGTTTTCCAGCCATTATCTGTACATTGTCTGTCACTGTGTGCATGCTGCCAGGGAGCGAGGAGCTGACAAGGGGGACCGATCGCCTTATAAAATGAGAAGCTACTTCTGTTCTTACCAGTGCACATGACACATTCAGGTCCCTTCCACTATGAGGACAGGTGTCAATGACAAGGCTGATGAGGAAAATTTATGCATATTCTCTAATAAGATGCCATTACGCTGTTTTTAATGACAGCTGGAATTCAAGTCAACCACCCCCAGAAACCATAAAAAGATAAAAAACAGTAACACTAGAGACTAAAGCAAGTCATGCCTTTATCACTTTAATTTACATTTTAAAATATTTCTACTTTGCCCTTTTTAAAAATGGTTTTCCAAGCCAGGTTTTTTTCTATTCACTTACAAATGATCCTATTATTTTCTATTCTAATCTGTCTTCTCCAGCCTAAGACAATATTATTTACCTCTGATAGATGCAATGCCAACTTCAGACCTGCTTTTTTAGCTTCTAAAAGAGGTTCCAAGAAGTCTTCTCCCTGTCCTATCTTGAAGAGAAAGGTTAAAATGAGGATGCATGAGAATTCTGGGCAAACTGAGGAATTGGGTACTCTTTTCCAATAAACAAAGGAATAAATAATAGCAGAAAAAAAATAACAGCAGATTGATTCATTTGCACATTTTGTTTATAAAATTCCTACAGTGTGCTAGACACCCTGGAGAATTCAAAGCTGGCAAAGACATAGTTCCTGCCCTAAGAATTTTAAGTCCAGTATCTGGGAACCTGAGGTCAATCAGCTAAGCTGGATATCTCTATCACCAAATTTTATTTCTGGAAGGACACCTAGATATCTAGGGCTAAGGAGAACTCACCTGATTGGGCAACCCTCGTGATTACTAAAAAAACTTCTATTAAATGGATGGTTGAAAACAAGAGCTGAATCATTCAGGTTTAGACAAAGCCATGAGAACCAGTATCATGGGACTCTCTCATTCAGTGGTTTTCAACCAGGGGCAATTCTGCCCCTCCAGGGAACATCTGGCAGTGCCTGGAAACAGTTTTGGTTGTCACAACTGGGAGGGTGTTGCTGGCACGCAGTGGGTAGAGGCCAGCGATGCTGCTAAACATCCTACAATGCCCAGGGCAGCCCTGAGAACAAAGAATTATCTGGCCCAAAATGTCAACATTTCTGCTTGTATCTGACATTCAAGTTCAGGCCAACTTTTCTCTACTGGGGGTTCTATGAGCTTATTAAGCCCTAATGCCCTAAGAGACCCATCCATTGTATGTAATAAATTTTCTTCTCTCCTGTGCATACAGACTGGTACTAGAAGCATACCTTCTTTAGAAGAATGGAGAAAACAGTCATACAGTTATGCAAATCTTTTTTTTTTTTTTTTTTTTTTAAGGGTGCTTAATTCTTTCACAGAATCCTGGTTGAGAACAGCTGCTCTCAATATTCTGGTCATCCAGAGCAGAACAGGGCTTCATCCACAGTGTCTGCTAGGCCCTCTGGAGAACACAGGAAGTTCCAAGCTAATCCTTACCCCTTATTCTACCTTTTAGAAATAAAATGTGTTTAGGAAAAAAACTCACAGTAGGGTCTCCACTGAGGTCAAGGCCAAGAACTGTACCCTCAGTAGAAAGAAAAAACTCTTCAGCAAGTTTAACAGTCTCCTTGGCTACTGAGGGACCACCTCTTCTGTCGATTGCTACCAAATACCTTTAATATAAGAAAAACAGTTGAAAACTAGTATGAAGCCACTGAAAAAGACAACTCTGAGTGTGGCCAGAGAGGCATGGCAGGTGATGTGTAACACATCTTACTAGAAAAGTATAGCCTGACTGAATCTAGACAACATGACATTTTACTTTGCCAGATGGAATGAGACATGAATTTCTAAACAGCATCAAATATTTAGTCAATGTTCAAATTTCCAATTGTCTCATTTCTGTTGTTGTTGTTGTTCATGTATTTGTTTTTTTACAGTTTGTTTGACTCAGGATCCAATTAAGGTCCATACTTTGTGGTAGTAAATGTATCTCCTAAGTCTCTTTTAATCTACAGCTACTCCTTCCTCTCCCCTGACCCCAGTGTGTGCCCCTCGGCCCCATTTCTTTTCTTTCTTTTTTTCTTCCTCTACTTTATTTCCCCTTAGCCCTTAGGCTCAGGACTACTTTGGTTGTGAAGACTAATCTTGAAAGGCTGGATACAGCATTTGAAAATGCAGGAGGGAGAAAAAATGCTTTAAGGTGGATTAGGTGAACTTACTAGAAATAAAAAAAATACAAATAAAAATGAGATGGTTTTATATTAAATTAGCAAAGATTGATTATACTATGTTGGTAAGGAAATAGGGAAATAGTCACTCTCCTACACTGCCTAAAGGTGTAAATGAATACAATCTTATTAATAGGAGTTTGGGGATACATATCCAAAATCTTTTTAAAGATGCATACATTTTAATTAACTGTTCTACTTCTAGAAAGAAAATATTTGGTCAGACGTGCAAAGATAAATACTGAAAGACTGTTATAACAATTATATTAGCAAAACATTGAATGTAATTTAATCATCCATCAAAAGGGAACTGGTCAAGTTAATTACGATATATACTTTTTTTTTTTTTTTTTACTAAAAGGGGAAATTCATTTAATGTAAATGCATACATTAATAAAAAAGAAAGATCTCAAATCAACAATCACCTCTGTACCTTAAGAAACCATAAAATGAAGAACTAAGCCCAGACCTAGCAAAAGATGTAAATAATAAAAATTAGAACACAGATAAAATAGAAAATAGAAAAAAAAAATAGAGAAAATCAATGAAACCCTGCACCCCTTTTCTTGCAATTTATTTTTGAAGAAGCTGGGTTGACTGTCCTACAAAGTTTCCTAGTCTGGATTTTGTTGATAGTATCTCTGTGTTGTTAACATGTTCTCCTGTCTCTTGTATTTCCTATAAACTGATAATTAAATCTAGCCTACAGGCTTACTCAGATCATGATGGAGTGAGCAGGACTGAAGCCATGTTGGGACCTAAATAAAGCTGCCTGGGCTGCAGAGGAGGGGGAGGATTTTTAAAAGGACAGTTTTTTTCTCTCCACTCTTGCTTCCCATCCCCTGACTTTCTTATTCGCTCACTAAGCAGGAAAACAAGGCCAAGAAGCTAATTAGTACTTTCAAAGCTAACAGTTCTTTCTTTGAGATTTATAGAGTTTTGAGAAATGATCAAGGCTAAAAGACTGGAAACTGACCTTGGGTACCAGCCAAGTACACTGGCACAAATCAAAATCTTGCAGGGTCCTGAGATAACAGCAAAGATGTGAACAGAAACCAGGTGAGGCCTTGGCGAGACCTTGTACCTGGCTCACAGACACGGACCCCTCGTAACTCACATCTCCTGCTCTCCTGCTTTTCACCTTCCACATTCCATTCCCTAAACCCTTCCTTTAAAAACCCCTCAGTAAATGTAAATCTTTGAGATGGGATAGCCTATCATCTCCTTCAGCTGAATACATCTGCTTTTCTACCACCAACCATTTGACAGAATTCTGAGTTTTTTTTCTTTCCTTTTCAAAGGGGCGGGCAGCCGGACCTGAGTCTGGTAACAATCAGATCCAATTTTTTGGCAAGAGTAAATAGGTGGAGGTGTGTTTTTAGAAGGCTTAGATCTATTACTTCATTAGGGGTTACAAAATTAGTAATATTCTAATTCTAAAATGTATCAAATATCTCCAGCATTTATCAGTTTACTTATATATTCACCAAATAAATTCCTCCAGCATTTAATTTATTTATTTACAAAATATAGATCAACTATGAGGGGTTTTCAAAAAGTTCATGGAAAAATTCATTTTGTTTTAGTTCTTCCACAAACTTGTTGAAATACACTTGTACACAAATAACACAAAATAATTTTAACTTGTTATAAATGCCATAAAGGGAACAAACTGGTGACTAGAGGCTTCAGGTGGGAGGGGGCACTTTAGACAGAGTGGTCAAGGAAGGCCCCTCTGAGGAAGTGACAGCCAAACTGAGACCTGAACAATGAGAAAAAGCCAGTCATGCAAGGATATGGTAGAAGTGTGTTCTAGGCAAAAGTAACAGGAAATACAAAGGTACCAAGGTGATACAATCTTAGCCTATCTCAGGAACAGGGAGGAGGCCAGTGCATAATAAATGAGGAGGAGTGGTCTAGATGAGCTGTTGAAGTAAGAGAGACAGCCAGATCACATAGGACCTTGCAGAGCACAGTAAGAAGTCCATTTTAGCTTAACAGCAATGGGAAGGCATACTTCACTAGAGCAGAAATACTCAGAATTTTATGGCCATATGAATAAATTCAGAATTGTAGTCTCAGTTTAAACAACAGCGTTCTTCATTCTATTTTTTCTGTAGTAGGAAGAAATCAGTTAATGGTTGATTTTTAAAAATCCATTACACCTATGATCAAAATGGTAAAATTTCATATTCTGCTTTTTTCAATTGTAACTACTAAGTACAATCCTCTTACCTAACATCAATGTCTAAGTTGTCTTGTTTTGACTGTTTTATACCCTCAAGTATAGATTCCACATAAGTCTTTTTAGTCATTCCTGGGAAGGACACAGAAAACATATGTAAAGAGATCATCAATTATTTCATCCTTCAACTTTAGCACCCCTCTATGGACAATTACATTTTCCCTTTATGCTATGACAAGGGCATGATTAAAGTTGAGTGAAAACATGGCCTTTATGGGTACATTTTAGTAAATGCTAATTGTACTTTAATAAAATTGGAAAAAAATGAAGTACTAGAGAAATGAAATGAAAAAAAAAAAACATACAGAATACAAGCCCATTTAAAAATTGTTTCTAGATTCAACAGACATGAAATTACTCTCACAAATTACTATAAAAATTTTAAATGCTCATTCTAGCAAAACAAAAACAGCAACCCCTTTTCTAAGGCCTGTCCTTTAAAAAAAAAAAAAAAGATACATTTGTTTAATTAGCAGGATGTTTTCCTGCTGGTCCAGGAAAAAAAATTCTAATTTGGGTTTCTTTCCCATCAACCCTGCTCAGGTTCAGTGTTTCTCATTCAGGGTACCAGAGATATTCTTCCAAATTTGAATGCTCAAGTCATCCTCTTCTGGGGGGTTCTGCAAGAGTGTTCTCCAGAACAACCTCCTCTAAAATACCCTTTTACCCTGATTATAAAATGCTTGCAAATTTGAATGCTCAAGTCATCCTCTTCTGGGGGGTTCTGCAAGAGTGTTCTCCAGAACAAACTCCTCTAAAATACCCTTTTACCCTGATTATAAAATGCTTGCTTTTGGAGGAAAATCACTAAGTAAAACAGAAAAGCATAAAGAAGAAAAATAAAAATAACCTGTAATCCCACCACCCAGAGATAACTACTGTCTTTGTTTTTTAAGTATACATATACACACATTTAAATAGATGAGATGCTATTAGGTGCATATGTACCCTGTTCCATCATTTAACACTGAATTCTGAGTATCTCCCCATGTTATGAAAGTGTTTTTGCAAATATTTTTAATGGTTGCCTAATAATTCCATTAACCTTTATTTAATCATTCCCCTAGTGTTGCATTAATATTCTCATTTTGAATCTCCATTTGAAGAGCAAACTAGCTCTACTAATTGGCAGTTTTCTTCTCTCCTTTTCTTTTACTACCTTCACCAACATTACTTGGGACTGATTCTACAGTTTAAAAATCTGAGATAAGAATCTTCTCCTAGTCCTATTTCAACATTTATTTTCAAAAATTTTATCCCTCAATGATTACTGGGCTACACATGTCAGGGTGCAAAATGACCTAGGTCTCTGCAGGTCACAGATGAGGTGTTAAAAGGGACCAATGACACTTCATATTATTTTCTGATGCTGCTCTTACGAAAGGAGGGTTCAGGAAATTCCTCCAGACCACATCCAGATCCGCTCCTCTCCATCCAAAGAGTCTTACCACATCACAGCTTGTTTCTGGCCTAAGAAACTATCAGTCCTTAAGGAGCGACTGAATAACCTACATTTTGGTGATTGCCATAAAATATGATTCCACATCCACTCAGCTGCCTTGTCTAAGTGCTCCTGATACAGGGAGCAAGAATTAGCCTCTGCTTGAGACAGTGCAACTACAAGGAACAAATGTCCGTTTCTTAGAGTGAAAAAAACTAAACAAAGAAAAATAAAAGAAATTTTTGTAGGTCTTTTTTTCCCTCCCCTTAAATAGATAATGCCTGACCAGATTTTCTACTTTTTACTTAAGAATAACTCACTTGCTAATAATGTACATCATTAACATACATCAGAGGATCTGGACTATTGACTAAAGTCCCCATGAAAATAGAGAATACAACAGTATAAAAGTTAGTGCTTCATACTCCCAACTTGCCAACAAGTGAATGATCAAAGCACACAGGGAAAAGGATAGTACATTCCCTAAGAAGTAATTAAATTCTACCAGTAAGGGCTAGCCAGTCAGCTCAGTTGGTTAGAGCATGTGGTATTGCAACACCAAGGTCAAGGGCTCAGATCCCTGGACTGGCCAGCTGCCAAAAAAAACCAAAAACAAACAAACAAACTCAAATTAATTCTACCAGTAGCATTTTCTCTTCTGGGTGTGCTCCTTAGTTCCAGGTATTTGACACCATCATCTGCAAATTCTTTAATGACATCTTTTGTGACCTGAAAATAAAGGCAATGTACGCAACATTGGTAGAGTTAGTGTAAGGGTCCCAAGGAAAGTGCCAAGTGCTACAGCTTCATTTCATTCATTCAATTAGATTTCAAGGACTGTTGGAAGTCTTCCACATGACAGAGATTACCCACTTTTGTCACATCCCCGATGGAGACCATGACAGAGCTGCAACATTTCCAATAGCTCCCATCATCCCCCTCATTCCTACATTAAATCCAAATATGCACAGCAGCCACACCTTTTGTTTCTCTCCCCGCTTATCCATTTCTCTATTTCCTAGTGCTAATAATAGCACATTGAAAAAATAGAGAAATAAGGCAAAACTAAAACCAATTGACCACCTATATGTGTATAGTGCTAGGAAATGTACATTCAGAAATAAAAAGTTAAAATGATTAAGCATTACTGATGTAATAAATGGGCATTACTGATGTGTTATTTAAAGTCACAGCTTAAGGTTCTTATTCAAATTATTTAGGAATAAGTTGTATTTTTCAATAAATTCTGGCAGGGTTCAATTTTCCCCAGAAGTACCTAGGAAAATTCCCCTTAGGCAAAGAAAGTGGATGATAAATATGAGTAAGACTCTATCCAGTTTAGTACAAATCTCAACAATACAAAAAATACTGGAAGCATGTTTTCCTTTTCTGCCATCAATCCTAAAAAATACCAAACCTAGAAGAAAAAAGAAACAAGTTGGGGATGCTGTGATAACCTGCCCTAGTTACCCCTTACAGTTGGTGTCCTAATTCTAATCTGCTTTGACTATGTGCCCGTATGCATGCAAGTACAGTGCCCTGGCAAAGGAACAAGGGTTGGCTGGTTGTGCAAACAGTGCCTAATGGGGTGGCTCTACCTTGGTGAATTCATAGCAATCCAAGGTCTGGGACTCTTTTTTTCCCCCCACTAAAAGCCAAAACAGAATTTATTATGATGTAAATAGAAAGCGTAGCTCAGATTCACCAGGAGGTCTGGAGAACCAGACTCTGAGACTACACAGCTCAAGACAACACTACAGCATTTAAAATCATGTGACACTCCTAGACCAAGCAAAATACCACTGCTGCCTTTACCACTGAGCCTAACCTGCAGCCTCCACGCCATCATCACTGGCATGTGGCCCCGTGGCACTGCTATCCCAGGAACTACATCTTACTGTCACTGCCACCACCAAAGTGTGGCCTCTGCTCTGCAGGTTGAGGAATTTGCATCTTGTCATTGCCCCAAAACTGAACAGACCCAGAGAGACCAACTCACCCTTCCCCAGCTCATGTGAGACTAATGCAGAAACCTGTCTGACAATGGGAAGTCAGGCAGAAGTAATGGTCTGAAGCAGTAGTCCTTTTCAGTGACTAATGTGATCATATATACTATGCAATATCCCACCCCCACCCCCCTTTCTGGGTGGTTAGATACCTATGTAACCAAATGAACAATGAAAAGGTTGCTGACAAGTATGGCACGAGAACAAAGGGAGGAAGATTTATCTAGGCAACAGTGAGGCCTGTGGAATCATACCTAAACCACATCCAAGAGGCAGCAGTGGTGTGTTGCTTGGTATAGGAATGTCACATGATTTTGAATGCTGTAGTGTTGTTTTGAGCTGTGTAGTATCAGAGTCTGGTTCCCCAGACCTCCTAGTGAATCTGAGCTAACCCTTCCCTTGGGTCCACATCTGTGTCTGCCAGATTTAGCCTTTTCTATTCCATGCAGTAGGTACTAAACACAACTCTTTGCCCTTTAGGCTTTCCTCTCCTATGCTGTGGACTGAGAATATCTATTCAAATTCTTATCATAATTAGTTAAGTATATGATAGTATATCATAATTAGTTAAGTTCCTGCATACACAAAAGTCTTAAGACTGCATAGCTTGAATGGGAAAGAGCAAGGGCTCTGGAACCAAATAGGTAGTCAATTCTGCCACTTACTGGCTGTGTGTAACCTTAAACAACCCCTTTAGGCCTGTTATTTCATCTGCAAAAAGGGAATAAAAATATGTACTTCAAGGGCCGGCCCATGGCTCACTCGGGAGAGTGTGGTACTGATAACACCAAGGCCAAGGGTTCGGATCCCATACAGGGATGGCTGGTTAGCTCATTGGGTAAGCATGGTACTGACAACACCAAGTCAAGGGTTAAGATCCCCTTACCAGTCATCTTTTTTAAAAAAAACAAAAAATCCTACTTCAAGAAGTAGTCCTGAGAGTAGTGTCTGACACATGTAATACAGAATATTATTGTTTCAGCCACATTCCAGTCCTGTCTCTTATAGATTATACCCAGGTCACCTTGACTAGAGTACTAACTGATCTCCCACACACTCAGTTCCACATTTACAGTCTCTTAGCTTAATCTCACAGATGTTTCATCTATTATATGGGACACCTCACTGTCACTCTCTGAACCACCTACAGGTGCTCACCCTAGTAGCACTAAGTCAAATGCACAGAATCTTTATTTCTCACCTCATTTAATAGAGCTTTTCACTAAGTTTTGTTTTGAAACGAATGAAGTGATGACCATGGTATTATTATATCCATGGAGTATTAAGCTCTTAGAATCTAAAATTTCACCAATGTGAGACCATAAGCCCTCTAGTGGACATTCCTAGCAGTGTTCACTGGTATCTGTTGAGTGGCTGATAAGAGAATGCCCTTTTGGGTTCCTATAAATCCCTGTACATGTGTCTAACACAGAGCTTACCACATTATGTTGAATTCGTTTGCTTATGGGTCTGTCTCTCCTACCTCACTATAAATTCCTCAGGGGCAAGGATTGTGTTTAATCTCTCCTTATATCTCCAAGTCTTTGGTACAGTGCTTGGAACATTGTGGGCACTCAGTCAACTTTTGTCGAACTAAACTATTAGTGTTAACTCTCCTCTAAAAGATGATTAACTTACTTCTTACTTATCATAAGTCTCAGCCAACGAGGAAAATTTTTTCTTGACCAGTCAAAATTTAGTTCTCCAGAAACACAGATTATACTTCTTTGCATTTTTTTTTTCCTATGATTAAGAACACTGACAAGATTCTGCTTCTCTTTATCTACAGAGGACATATTAAAATGCCATCCTGGTCAAACTGCTGGGAGTGACCAGGACTGAAGCTATATTGAGATCTAAAACCACATGGGCTCTAAAAGACTTTAAAAGGACACAGGTTTTTTCTTGGCATGCATTTCTCTGAGTTCCCTCTTTTCTCATGGTTATTTGATATTTTGAGCCTTGATTACGGGGCAAGATGACATTATTTACATAAATGTAAAGTTGTTTTCCCACAACCTGAAGCTGCAAACGTACAGACCTGCATGTACTGTGCAGACCCTGGGAAACCCAGGAAGATATCAATAAAGCTATGCTGATTCCATGCCTCCAGCAGGACCCTGAGCTTATGTGATGAGTTTTGCATTTTCTGAGATTATTTTGCCCATGTCTCCAACTCCACTGTCACTAGCCTTATTCACGCCACCATCTTCTCTTCCCTGTACTATTGCAAAAGCTTCCTAATCATCTACTCAAATCATAAGAGGGTGGGGGATGACATGAAGGAAATGCCTAGTTTCAGACTTGTATAACCATTCACTAAGACAGGACCCCTTGGAAAAGGCTCAGTTTTGAGGGGAAAACCATGAGTTCTGTTATATACACATTGAATTTGAGGTGCCTTTGAGACTTCCCAGAAGAGCTGACTGGTAGCCTGAGCTCAAATGCATGGTCAAGGCTGCAGTCATTGATACAGAGGTGGTTGGTGAATATTCTCAGGCATGGATGAAAATATTCAGGGGAAGCATCAAGAGGAAAGAAAATAGACGAGGGGGCCAAGCCTGTGGCACACTTGGGAGAGTGCGGCGCTGGGAGCGCAGCAGCACTCCCGCCGTGGGTTCGGATCCTATATAGGGATGGCCGGTGCGCTCACTGGCTGAGCGTGGGGCAGGCAACACCAAGCCAAGGGTTGCGATCCCCTTACTGGTCACAAAAAAAGGACAAAAAAAAGAGACGAGGGCCTAGGACTGACCTTTTGCTGGAGTGAGCAGGACTGAAGCAGGGACCTAAACCTGCACGGGCTGTAGGCAAATTTTATTTTATTATTATTTTTTTTTGTCTTTTGTCTTTTTCCGTGTCCGGCAACGGATCGCAACCCTCAGTGTTGCCCCCGTACCGGACCGGGGACCGGCAACGGGATTGCAACCCTCAGTGTTGCTCCCGCACCTCACTCAGCCAGTGAGCGGGAACCGGTCTGTATGTGGGATCCGAACCCTCGGGTGGGAGCGCTGCCGCGCTTCCCAAGCGGTGCACTATCCAGTGCGCCACCGGGCCGGCCCTGTAGGCAAATTTTAAAAGGACACATTTTTATCTTGGCATGCATTTCTCTGAGTTCCCTCTTTTCCTGTGGTTATTTGGTATTTTGAACCTTGGTTATGTGGTGAAATGATATTATTTATATAAATGTAAAGTTGTTTTCCAGTCAGCCTGAAGCTGCCGACTTGCACATACTATCCAGACCCTGGGAAACCAAGGAAGACATCAATAAAGCTATGCTGATTCCATCCCTCCAGCAGGACCCTGAGATAACAGCAAGGATGGGAACAGAAACCAGATGGAGCCTTGGAGAGACCTTGCACCTGGCTCCTTGCATGGAGTCCCCACAGCTCACATCCCCCTTCCTCCTGCTTTTCATTTCCCATGTTCCATTCCCTCAGCCCCCTCTTAAAAAAACCCCTCAGTAAATCTGAGTCTTGGAGATGGCTTCAGGTTTCCCAGAGAGATGGGTTAGCCTAACATCTCTCCTTAGGTCACTGGTATTCCTGAACAAAAGCTGACTTGCATTTTCACCAACACTTAACTTTTGAGTGGTTTGCTTTTGAAAGGGGGCAGGCAGCTGGGCCTGTGCCTAGTAACAAGATCAGTGATACAGAAGTCAGTCTTCAGTGTCAGACTCTAGTATCATGGAGCTTCAGAGAACACAGTGGTGTTCTCTAGTCTTTCATCTCCAGAGGAACTCATCTCTAAGCACTTCTCCATTCTCTATAATGTCCACCAAGGCAGTTAAAAGTCTCTTATGCAATACAGATAAAGCCTTATCAAAGACATGATCATCTGTGGTCAAATATTTCATATATATTACATAGGGAAAACAGGACCAGATTTTCTCCTCCATACTGTCTTCCATACAATACAGAAGATGCCGATCTTGGTTCTTATATCTTTCACAATGCACACAGTCTTTTTATATTAGCTCTTAGGCAAATGTCTTACAATGGTTTTGAAAAGAGTTGTCATAAAAAAAAAAAGAAAACATTTTTTATCAGACTCTTGATGGAAGCAAAAGGTAATGTGCAACAACAGAAGGGCATAAATTACTTCTAATTTTTAAACAATCTAAAAATTCTTTCACGTCTCACCATTAGAATATCTTCAGGGCTAGTAGTAAGCTGATGAATAATTTGAAACATCTGGAAACATCTGCAATATAAATGAAAAGTTTTAACATACCCTAGTCATCAAAAACTTGTCACTCAAGAGAAACTCAATAAGCTGAACTAATAGAGTTTAGGCTAATAGTAAGTATATATTTACATTTACAAAGAATTACAGAATAGGTTTTTTCAAAAATTACACTGATCTGGAAAGTTAATCAAATGGCTGAAAAATAAAACGTTACTGATTTTTTTAAGTAGCAAATAGCAGCTCCTCTTCTTTGACCCCACCACTGCTGACAGTAGTAGCAAACGGGGAAAAATCCATACACCCATATTTTCAAGTCTAAAGAATATCTCAATATACTATAACTTCACAACAACATAAATCATTAAAAATACTATCAACAATCTGACAATTGGAAAAAATCCTGTCTGTTGTTATAATCTCCATGCCAGATGCCTACCTTTTCCCTTTTAACTACTAAAATCTGAATACTTATATACCACTTACAATCTCAAAATACTGACAGAGAAAAAAAGTATGTTCACAACCTCCCCAAACTCACTCTTCTAAAGTTCTTTTCTTTCCCTTGTCAATCATAGTCATCTGATCATGAATTTTGACATCTGGCTTCTTGGCTATTAATTTCCTCATGGTATTAGAACTAATGGATCCATTCAAGTGGGCATGAAGTTCCTAAAATAAGAGAATACAATCAGTATAAACTATGAAGTATCAGTTAGATTCACAACATCATACCAGGTACTTAATGTTTGTAGTTTGTCCTAGGTAAACTGCCTATTAGATTTAAGTACATAACTTTTAAAGTTTACAAATTCTACCTATAAAATTTACTTTTCTGGGCCGGCCCATGGCTCACTCAGGAGAGTGCTGATAACACCAAGGCCATGGGTTCGGATCCTGTATAGAGATGGCCAGTTAGCTCACTGGCTGAGTGTGGTGCTCACAACACAAAGCCAAGGGTTAAGATCCCCTTACCAGTCATCTTTTAAAAAAAAAAAATTTACTTTTCTCTCATGAAAAGAAACAACATAAAAGTCATTATAATTAGCAATCACTCAAGAATTCTACAGTTGAATTCTCACCACTTTTGGCAATTCCAAGTAAAAATCTGTCTTCCATGGCTGTTGCTGCTGTTCTGCTTCCATCATGATTTTAGCAGGAAAATAACTGGTTCTTCTCCACTCTTATTCTTGGTATGAACAAAACAATGTATTTTAGTCAGTAAATTCTGTGGTATTGAATTCCCTTCAGATTGCTTTATTTCCACACATTTTGATAAGATTAGCTGTATACCTGTATGTAGCTCTGGGCTCAGCTTCACCCATTGTAACAAATGTGAACATTTTCAATATTGGCATAAAAGCAAAGAAACTGGATTTTGCTCATTTATTCTTCAAACGGCAAAAACTCCTCCAAAGCTAACTTAAATGTATCTGAGGTGGGGAGATAATTAGTAAACAGTCTGAACTAGAAATAGGAAAAGGCCTCAAGCTGGTAAGAAGAATATTAAAACCTGAAATTTAATAGAGTGTATTCCTTACCTACAGGCACTTTCTATAAAACCACTTCAAAAATTACAAATTTTATAAGGCCTATTTTGGGTAAAAAAATGAAATTTACATTTTTTAATTGTTTAAAATACATAAAGGAAGAGGAGACATGTTACAATCAGATGGACCTAGGTTTGTCCTTTTGCCAGTTCTGTAGTCTAGTAGCTGTGTGGCCTTAGTCATTTATTCTCATGGCTTCAGTTTCCTTATTTGTAAAAATGGCATAAAAATGCAGAATAGCTGCTAGGATTAATAAGGTATTCTAAATTATGCTCCTATATGATCCAGTGACTACCTTTAACTCAGCACCTTATCACAATGTATCTCAATCACTGATTTACTTGTCTTTCTCCCTCACCAGACTGTAAGTTTCTTGAGGAGAAGGACTATTGATTATTTTACCACCCTAGCACCTAGTACAGTGCCTAGCACACTGTATGTGATAAATAAATCCGCACTTCCCTTCACCTCTGAAGGTGGCTTGTAAATTAACATAAAATTCCAAACGAAATTTGGTAATTTTCAAAGTAGCCACCTTGACCCTCTGGGATCCCACTTTTTTTTTTTTTTTTTAAAAAAGATGACTGGTAAGGGGATCTTAACTCTTGGCTCGGTGTTGTCAGCACCACGCTCAGCCAGTGAGCCAACCAGCTATCCCTATATAGGATCCGAACCTATGGCCTTGGCGTCATCAGCACCGCACTCTCCCGAGTGAGCCACGGGCCGGCCCTGGGATCCCACATATTAATGATGATGATAAGAATAGCAGTTTTCATGTATTCAGAACCTATCAGATATGTGGCAAGCACTTTCAACTACTTTTCATTCTCACAATAACCTTACAAAATATTATTACCACATTACAAATCAATAGTTGATACTGAGCAGGGTTAAATAACTTACCAAGATATTAGAATACTCAATAAAGAAAATAGTTCGGGGGCCGGCCCGTGGCTCACTCGGTAGAGTGCAGTGCTGATAACACCAAGGCCATGGGTTCATATCCCATATAGGGATGGCCGGTTCGCTCACTGGGTGAGCGTGGTGCTGACAACATCAAGTCAAGGGTTAAGATCCCCTTACCGGTCATCTTATAAAAAAAAAAAAGAAGAAAAAAAGAAAATAGTTCGTACAGGAATAAACAGAGCCATAGAAATCCACAGAAAGGCCAACTCAGTACAAGATAAAAGTGGCATTTCAATGTAATGCCATAGTAAGTGCTTAAAAAATAGTAAATGAAAAAGATGGACAAGTTAATCAATGGTGTTTAATAACTGTACTGAAAAATATGAAAGACATCATTAAAATGGAAAGCATACCTTATTCTTGCATAAGTAAAGTCATTTTACCATAAGTTGACTTATAAAGTTAATGTTAATTAAAATATTCCCCAAAATATGGCTGGCCCATGGCTCACTTGGGAGAGTGTGGTGCTGATAACACCAAGGCTGCGGGTTTGGATCCCTATATAGGGATGGCCAGTTAGCTCACTTGGGAGAGTGTGGTGCTGACAACACCCAGTCAAGAGTTAAGATCCTCTTAACGGTCATAAAAAAAAAAAAAAAAAAAAAAAAAATCCCAAAATTATTCCTTTAAAGTTTATCTTAGGGCTGGCCATTTAAGCTCAGTTGGTTAGAATGTGGTGTTGTAGCACCAAGGTCAAGAGTCTGGATCCTAGTACTGAACAGCTGCCAAAACAAAACAAAAAACTTTTATTTTAAAGTTCATATGGAAGACTTAACTTGTAACTGAGATTAAAACAAAACAATTGAAAGGCACCCAAATCACAAATTTTGCTCCATTCTCTTTCTTCTTGAATCATTCTTCTTGATCTGCTCTTTGCAAAAAAAGGTAACATTTTTAATGTAACATCTACATTTTATTAACTTGTCACTAAGTAAACTTGTTTCTATAGTGCTATGTATTTATTCAAAGTCCTTCAACTCTTATTTCTTTCTATCTGACCCTCAATCAACCCTGTGATACCTCACTTAGAGAACACTTACTCCCCTCATTTTACCTTTTTTTTGGGCGGCTGGCTGATAAGGGGATCTGAACCCTTGACCTTGGTGTTACCTGCACCACACTCTAACCAAGTGAGCTAAACAGCCAGCCCTTTCCCCTCATTTTAGAGATGAGGATCCAAAGACCCTGCAAGCTTAAGTGGATCCTTCTCCCAGTCACTTCAAAGGCAGTTCCTAACTCCTCAAGTGTTCCACCAGATCCAGCTGCCTTACGCTAAACGGACAACCTTGTTGCCAATTTTACAGAGAAAACAGAAACCATCAGGCATGAATTTCTTCTATTTCTCTCTGCCCTAGTGCACACCTAAAATTGCCTTTATCCATACTCTTTTTTTCCCTTATGAGTCAGAGAAAAGGATTCATTCTTCTGTCCCCAACACTAATATGTGCCCAGGATCCCGTTTCTTCTTATCTATTCCAAGTCATTACTCCACCAATGAGTTACCTTCTCATTTTTCTGTTCCTTTCAACCTCTCCTTCTCCACTGACTGATTTCCCTCAGGGAACCAACATGCATGTGCAGTATTTGCTTTTACTTGAAAACAAAACAAAAAACTTTTATTTTATCCCACATTCTTCTTTAGCTATCATCCTGTCTCTCTTTTCCTTCTGAGCTAAGCTCTTTGAAAGCATAATTTATACTGGATGCCTCCATTAACTTATTTCCCATTCACTGAAACATGGATTCTACCCTCATTGCTCCACAGAAACTGCACTCCCTGAGGTCACTGATCAGCTCTTAAAACACCAAATCTAAATTTCAATTATCAAATCTTTATCCGGATCCGTACTTTTCCTTGATTCCAGTATCTAATTCAGCTGGACTCTAAAACTCATGCTCTTAACCATCATGTAATACTACTTCGAGTTCACCATACCTAGTCATCCTGATTTCCTTCTCCATTTCAGCCAGCTAGTCACCAAATCCCAATTAATAAGTTATAAATGTCCTAAATATCTCTGGAAGTAGTTTCCCACTGATGATTCTCAGACACTCTCAGTTTAGAAACTTTATGATTATTTAAAAAACTCTAACCTGGATTTCTTCCTTAAAAACAAAGCTCAAAACATATCACGGGGAATAATTACTCCTTTTCCGTCACTCCCCCTTCCGCGGACATTTTCTACACTACTTCAGAACCAAGGAATTTTGGAAGTGGAGGGGAGTGTCATTCTATCTGTGAGAAACAGAGCTTTAGTAGTTTACTCACTGTCAGCCTAGCACAGAGCTGGGAATACAAGAAAGTCAATAGTATATATCGGGGGAGAAGCGGCTTTATTGCAAATATTTATTAATTATCTGTAAAGGTCTGTTTCTTCACTTTACACTTGGCCTCCCCGATTTGTTTTCAGATATAAATGGGTTACCTTTTGCAACGATGAGAGCATTAAATAAATTAGCAACTATCATCAAATAGCATCAGGAACGACCTCTTCTCCTTGCCCGCTAGAGGTCCGTGATGCTGACTTTTTTGCCCCTACCATACCCGTCCTTCGCTGCCCAGTACTCATAGACTCACCTCTTAAAGATGTCTCAACTATGAGGACCTAGACAACTTTTCCCTTCAGACTGAAAGGCTTGTAGAAAAGTTATAATCCGCGCTACCCTAATACACATGTTACGGTGGTAGCTGGCCGCCTTCCCGGGAAAACGTAATCCCGGAGAACCAAATAGAGGTTAGTACAAGCTACACCTTTCTCATTTCTGATTGGGTAGGTACGCTCTTCCCGGAAGTGACGCATTGCGAGCGGAACGGGAAGTCGGGGAGGAAGGGTGATTTTTCTGCCAAGGTCCGTGCGGAAAACAAGGCGGCACGCAAGCGTGGCGGACCGCCATTCCTGAGTCTTTCCTGGCCATGGGTTCCCGGAGCCGCGAGCGTCGGGAGGGAGCAGTACAGGGCACCAACGACAGTAGCGCCCTCAGCAAGAGCTCCCTGGCCGCGCGTGGGTACGTACAGGACGCCTTTACCGCCTTGCTGGTTCCGAGGACTGCGCGCCGCGCGCCGCTCGTCCACCGAGGCTACTACGTCCGCGCACGCGCCATACGGCACTGCGTGCGCGCCTTCCTAGGGCGGACGTGCGCGCTCCCCGACGTCCCTCGCCCCCAGATACTGTCTCTTGGCGCCGGCTCCGACTCGCTGTATTTTCGCCTTAAAACAGTGGGCTGCTTGGCCCGGGCTGCTGTCTGGGAGGTGGATTTCCCAGATGTGGCTCGTCGCAAGGCGGAGAGGATTGGAGAGACGCCGGAGCTTTGCTCGTTAACCGGGCCTTTCCAGAAGGGGGACCCCGGGTCAGCGCTGTGCTTTGAGAGCCTGGACTACCGCATCCTGGGCCTGGACCTGCGGCAGCTCCAGCGACTGGACGAGGCCCTGGCCGCCGCGGGCCTCGACGCGGCCTCACCCACTCTGCTCCTGGCTGAGGCCGTGCTGACCTATCTCGAGTCCGATAGTGCCGCCGCCCTCATCGCCTGGGCAGCCCAGCGTTTTCCTAATGCCCTTTTCGTGGTCTACGAGCAGATGAGACCGCTAGACGCCTTTGGTCAGTTCATGCTGCAACATTTTCGGCAGCTAAATTCTCCCTTGCATGGCCTGGACCGCTTTCCCGACGTGGAGGCCCAGCGGCGCCGCTTCCTTCAAGCTGGCTGGACTGCCTGCAGTGCCATGGACATGAACGAATTCTATCGCTGCTTTCTCCCAGCGGAAGAACGCCGGCGGATGGAAAATCTTGAACCCTTTGATGAGTTTGAAGAGTGGCATCTTAAGTGTGCCCACTATTTCATTCTGGCAGCTTCTAGGGGAGACATCCTCTCCCAAACCTTGGTGTTTCCACCCACAGAAACGTTTCCTCGGGTAGATCCTGCTTCCCCTTCAGGAGTCTTCCCTGCCTGTGTAGTCAGTAGTGACAGCCAGAGCCCAAACCTTAAGAGATATGGCCACGACTCTGTCCTTTTGAGCCCGGGCATTATTCTCAGTGCAGGAGGATTTGGAGAGCAGGAAGGGCGGCACTGCCGAGTGAGCAAGTTTCACTTGCTCTCAAGATACCGTGACTTTGAATGGAAAGGTAGCCAAATATGCAGTTGGGGGACTGGAGCCCAGTGGGATGGACGTCTTTATCACACTATGACAAGACTTTCAGATATTCAAGTTCTGGTTCTGGGAGGGAGACTGTCCCCAGTGAGTCCAGCCTTGGATGTTCTCCAACTTCATTTTCGTAAGAGTAAGGATAATACCATTGAGGACCTGAATGTGAAAGTAATAAAGGTTGGCCCAAAAGAAGATTCCACTTTGTCGTGTTGGCGGCATTCAACAACAGAAGTGTCCTATCAGAATCAGAAATATTTGTTTGTGTATGGAGGTCGAAGTGTGAGTGAACCTGTACTAAGTGACTGGCATTTCCTACATGTAGGAACGATGGCTTGGGTCAGGGTCCCAGTGGAGGGGGAAGCACCCGAAGCTCGGCATTCCCACAGTGCCTGCAGTTGGCAAGGGGGAGCTCTTATTGCTGGAGGTCTCGGTGCTTCTGAGGAGCCATTGAGTTCTGTACTCTTTCTGAGACCAATCTCTTGTGGATTCCTCTGGGAATCAATAAACGTCCAGCCTCCTATTACCCCAAGGTACTCCCACACATCTCATGTGGTCAATGGACAGCTTCTACTGGTTGGAGGGGTCTGGATTCATTCCTCCTCGGTTCCTGGAGTAACTGTTATCAATTTGACTACAGGATTGAGCTCTGAGTATCAGATTGACACAACGTGTGTGCCGTGGCCATTAATGTTACACAACCATACCAGCATCCTCCTTCCTGAAGAGCAACAGCTCCTGCTCCTTGGAGGTGGGGGGAACTGCTTTTCCTTTGGCACCTACTTCAACCCGCATATAGTGATATTAGACCTTTCTTCCTTAAGTGCTGGGCAGTAAGGACTAGACTATATATTCAGGACCCACCAAAGTAGACAATAAAGGTTTCCATAAAGAGAACTTGACTCTGGCCATAGATATTGCTACTCCTCCCTTCCCCCCTCCTATTCAGTGCAGAACATGAAAAGGGTTGTTAAAATACATACCAACAATCAGAGACAGTACAAAAATAAAACATAGCTAGAAGACAGTGGCCATATAGTCCTACTAGAATAGGGGCTTTGTTTTGTTTTCCCGGGCAGGTGAGTTGTTACACACTGCTTAGTGGCCACCATCCTTAAAGTAGATCCCTTTGGATTTATGTATCAAGTTTATTGGTCTTCTCCAATTTCTAACCTAAGTTTACCCATTTATTCAATTACACTGACGTTTAGCCTAAGTCAAGTAAAAAATTTTCTAATCCCAGACCCTGTGATTTGAGATGGCACGTTGGAAAAAGTTTGACACCAATACCTGGTAAGAATACAAGGCTGAATATAGTTGAAGGAAACTTGACCTAATCGTGTATGAAACCTGAAATGAACATAGTTGCAGTTTGCTTAAAACATTGTGCTGTTTAGTGCTACAGAGAACTCAGACAGCTTTCACAACTAGAAACATTTGCAGAACATTATTGAAAAACATGCTTTTGGTCAATTTTTTGCTATTGGTTCCATATTTACTTAAATTTACAAGGGCCAATAAACCAAACTTTTGATGCCTCAATTCATTTTGTACATAATATTTTGCTGCAGATTACTCTGCACTCTTTACTATGTTTTGTGCCCCAAGAGGCTGACCTTTATGGACTGCATTTATGAGCTCACTTGTCGTCTAGTTTCTCATTGAGTTCTACCAGTCAGAGGCACCAGAGGGGAATGGAGACAAGAACAGTGAGTCAGGGTATTTATTCCCAGGTCTTCCCCTGCCAGTCTCCAGGTCAGCATCAGCTGCATTCTTCTGCAAAAGGCTATAGCTCCTGTTGTGTAGTCCTCTCCTGTAAGATAGAGCTCTAATTCTGTGTTGTTCAGTAATTGATCCTTTTTTTTTTTTTTTTTTTTTTT